ACATTCACCCTATCCATGCCCCTCATGATTTTATAAACCCCTATAAGGTCACCCCTCACCCCTCAGGGAAAATAGCCCCAGCCTATTCAGCCTCTCCCTGTAGCTCAAACCCTCCAACCCTGGCAATATCCATGTAAATGTTAGGGCAGCACGGTGGCTCAGTGGTTGGCACTGCTGCCTCACAGCGCCAGGGACCCGGGTTTGATTCCACCCCCGGGCGACTGTCTGTATGGAGTTTGCACATTCTCCCCGTGTCTGCGTGGGTTTCCTGAGTGCTCTGGTTTCCCCCCACAGTCCAAATTTGTGCAGGCTAGGTGGATTGGCCATGGAAAATTGCCCCGTAGTTTTCAGGGGTGTGTGGGTTATAGGGGGGTGGGATGGTCCAAGAGTCGGTGTGGATTTGTTGGGCTGAAGGGCCTGTTTCCACACTGTCGGGATTCTGTAAATCTTTTCTGAGCCCTTTCTGGTTTAACAACATCTTTCCTGTAGCAGGGAGACCAGAATTGTACACAGTTTTCTAAAACTGACGTCATCACTCGACCATCAGGCTGTCATTCTGAAACCTCTGAATGTTCGCACTCAGGTGCTGGTCTAGATGAGACACGGCTGATAACAGCAGATGTGTTTTCCCAGTTGCTGCCATGGGTTGAAAAACAGCTAGCAATATGAACGGACCATGTTCTTAAACATTGAGCTGTTTTCTCGCTGGGTTACAGTGGAGAGCCTCCTGCTGTGTGTTCAGGGGCTCTGGTTATTTTAGTGCAGCTGGGATTTGCTGTGTCCTAGAAGCTGCTGTGACCCCTGTGCATGTTCCGAATACTCTGCTCCTGACTCTGTGTCTAGGCTCAGGCTCTCTGGACTTGGGCAAGCAAACAGGGTGGCTGGGGTTTGTTACACACAGCTTGCAAACCTCGGAAAATGTTTCATTCTTTGACCTGCACTCTGATAATGCTTTAGACGTATTTTATAAATGCCAGACCACTTGCTGTGTTTAAAAGCTGTTTACTTCAGGAAGCTGAGTCGTGAGCATTGGAGATTACAGGGATTAGCAAACCATCCCCACGTTTGACTCCTACCTGTGCTAGAGTGAACTCCTTCCACCTCCTCAAATTATTTTCATAAAATCATCGTAAGGCAGCGAAATATGACACACCAGGCAAACTGTAGCACGTGAGGCAAAAAAAAGCCTTTTATAACATCAAAAGGAATTTCTACAAATTGATGGGAGAAATTCAGGTCCACTAGAATATTTTCTGTTATTTGACATCTTGTTTTTACAATATTCTGGCTCCCTTTTGCCGCTTTCTTTAAAATGCAGTCCTGGTTGAAATGTAGCTTATAGATTCAAACCCCTGCCAGGCCTGGTCTCACCTGAGTTACTGCTCTGTGTGCGCGCGTGTGAGGGAGAATGTGTGTGCCTGTACATTAAGTAGTCAGTGAGATGTCAAGTCATGGGAATTGAACACACCCACCACCCCCTCTGTGATATCAGTGTACAGTACAGTACACTCCCAGCTACAGTCCCTGCACTGCTCTCGCTCTCTGCCACTCCTGGTTTAAAAATCAGCCATAACAGATTTGGTAATGTCTCAGTTTGGCCTGTACAGGTTGGACTTTTGAACAAGAGATCCTTTACTTTGTGTGGCAAGCACCTTAGCAGCAGTAACTTTGCATAAAATACTTGTAAATCATTTTACGTGCAAAGAGTCTACTTTAAAAAGATAATCCTGACCAACCTGAATCATTTCACAAGCGGCCTGGTGACTCACCATCTAGTGCTCAAACTGGGGAGAGAACACGAAAACATTGAGTTGGGGAAACACAGGCCAGTATGGAGGAGATAGTGCTGGAGTTCTATTTTACAGACTCTGTCAGGGGCTGAATTTACAACTACAACAGGCAGAAGTGAAATTACTCTACACTATTCTAATGGGGGAGGGCAGTTATGTCAGGAATTTGTTTGACAAAGATGTTTGTAATTTTTATTTTAGGCAGGGAAATAAGGCAGTTGGAAACCACAGTCTTGTCTGCTTCCTGTTAGCACCAGCAACCCACACCTCCCCCTTACACCTTCCTGTAATCTTTGCCAAGGGTGGAGATTCCAAACTTTATACCTGCCTCAAAAAGCAATGTTTGTGCAGTTGGTATAATGTGACTCAGCATTGCCTCTGGATTGGGTCAGCCGTAGGGTTGATGTTCAATGGTAATCATTGGCTAGTGCAGTATAGCATCAATTCTCATTAAAAACCCACCTGGTTCACTAATGCCCTTTAGGGAGGGAAATCTGCCCTTACCCAATCTGGCCTACATGAGACTCCAGTGTGGATAAATCTCAACTGCCGTTCCGTGATGGCATCACTGGCTGGACTAGCGTTTTTATTGCCCATCCATAATTGCCCAGGAGGTAGTTAATAGATATCCACATTGCTGTGGGTCTGGAGTCACGTGTAGGCCATTCAAAGTAAGGACTTCCTTCCCTAAAGGACATTGGTGAACCAGAAGGGTTTTTGTATTTACTTCATGGTCACCCTTACTGAGATTAGCATCATACTCCATTTTTTTTAGTTGAATTTCAAAGTCCAGTCGCTGCTGTGGGATTTGAACTTGTGTCGCTCGAGTTTTAGTCTAGGTCTCTAGGCTGCAGGGCCATTGCTCCTACGTTCCCACCTCTCATGCCCTTTGCCAGTAATTCCAGAAAGCAGTTCACCGTTACCTTCTCTAGGCTCATTGGAGATGGTTAATGAATACTGACTTTGCCAGAGCCAACCACATCCCTACAACGTGTGTGTTTTAAAAAGTGCTCACTTTGCTCCTTTTCAGCAACTAACAGCAATCAAACTGAGTTTTGTACCTTCAGCTTTTCAGTGAATTGGAGATCACTTGCATTTTTGTTTTGTCTTAAATAAGATCCCATTGGGTGTTTGGAGATTGAAGAACTGTTCTGTGGAATAGAAAAGGGAGACCAGAAAGCAGTGGGACCAAAGCAAACCACAATGGATCCTGGAAATCTGTGACAGAAACAGAAAGTGCTGGAGAAACTCATCAGGTCAGGCAGTATCTGTGGAGAAACAGGTGTTAACATTTCTGAACTGCAAAACGGTCATTGGACTTGAAGCGTTAACTCTGTTTCTCTCTCCTCAAATGCTGTCAGACCTGCTGAGTTGCTCCAGCACTTTGTTTTTGTCCCAGTTTTCCAGCATCTACTGTGGTTTGCTTTTTTTCTAATTTGTTTTCTGGTCTCCCCTTTTCTAGGAGTGAGGTCTTTTAATTATTCACTGAACTGCGATGGATTGTATGGTTGTGAAGAGTGACATTTCATTGATGAGCCTCGCGATAATCCTGGGTTGACTGAAATGCTACAATTGACAGTGAGACCCTTGCTGACTCTGGTTTTTTGTTTTTTTTGCAGTGACAGCTACGTTGTACGTGTCAAAGCTGTGGTTATGACCAGAGATGACTCAGGGTGGTTACCACAGGATGGAGGTGGTCTTAGTCGAGTTGGTGTCTGTAAGGTCACACAACCAGAAGGCACTGGCCGAAGTGATTTTCTGATCCATGGTGAGCGACTTCGAGACAAGCTGGTAAGTCCAAGCAGCATCTGTAAGGAAGCCCGACAAATGGTATTTTTGAATGTTACAGGAACACTTTTAATTAAGGAAGGCATTCACTGTGATCATTTATGACCAATTCTGGTTTGACCTCGCTACATGTTTTCTGCCCTTTGGTATATTTGGCTGGCTCCTGATGCGAAACTTTGAACATTTTGTTTTGATCATTAATAGTGTGTTGGCTGTGCTGTCTGCCCATCTGTCCCTGGCTGTCAGTGGTACTTTTGTTATCACTGAGCTGCCGTCCCTATCACTGTGGCCCCTGATGAGATAGACCAAGAGGGACCACTCACGAGGGAATTTTGCAGTATTGTTGTCCCACTGCAACATTTTGTCCTCTGGACAATTATCCAAAACTTCGCTGTCTATGTAGTATCTGTCATCATCTCCACTATCCACTCCTCCCAGCTTGTTCCCACCACCCCTCCAATTGCCTAGCTAGCATAAGATCAACCAATAAAGTGTTGGCACACTCAGAATATTTTGGAAATTGTTGGAGATAAATCATACAATCGTTTGAAGAAAACCACCTCCTACGTAAGGGACTGGATGATAAAAATCTTGTTTTGGGTTTCAATCTCCGATAACGCAGCAATGATGTGAACAGCTGATGTTAGTGTGATTGTAGAGTGAGTGTCATTGAGCTACTGTGCACATGGATACGGTAATATCGTGCTTACAGTACTGGACTTGTCCTGCAATCGGATAAACTCTGCCAGGCTCCCTACTAGGAAGGTCCTGACCATGTTGCACTACAGAAAGCCTTTGCCACCCAGAGGCTGGTGGGGAATATGGAGCTCACGGCCTGTCAGGGTGGGAGAAGCAGAAACCTGCGTCACATTAAAGAAGTATTTAGATGGTCACTTGCAATGCCGAGGCTGTGGGCCAAATGTTTTTTATTTATTTATTTGTTTACGGGACATGGGCATCGTTCCCTGCTCGTACCCACCCCTTGAACTGAGAGGCTTGCACAGCCATTTCAGAGGGCACTTATGGGTCGACCACATTGCTGTGGATCTGGAGTCACATGTAGGCCAGACCAGGTAAGGATGGCAGCTTCCTTCCCTAAAGGAAGTTAGTGAGTCAGATGGACTTTTCCAAAAGTTGGCAATGATTTCATGCTCATTAGTAGATGCTTAATTCCAGTGTTTTTTTATTATTGACTTCAAATTCCACCATCTGCTGCAGCAGGATTAGATCCAGGATTAATCTGATCTGCATTTATTGTCTAGCAATAATAGCACTAAGCCATCACCTCCCCTTTTAGAATAGTTAGGTGATTGTGAGCAGAATGGATGCGAAGGGCTGAAGGGGCCGTTTCTGTGTTGTGGGCCTCTATGACGGTATCGACACTTTATAGAATGTACAGCCCAGAAATAAGCCGTTCGGCCCACAGGGCCATGCTGAAGTGTCTTAGCCAATTGCACCACCTCCATCCTTCTTCATCTAATGTGACTTTCTGCACCTTTCTCCCTCGTGTGGATTGAGCTGCTCTATTCTGTGCATTTCGCTTCATTTCATAACAGCTGTGTTAAATGGATTAAATGACCAACGATGTTAAGTGACAGTATTGTTTTCCTATCTAAGCCTCCTTCATGTCCCTGTTTCTCCCTTGATAAAATGAAGGTCCTGTACAATGCACCTGGCGTTTACCTGTCAGATAAACCTGCTTTGTTCACAGTATGTATCGTCACAACAGACAGGTTCCTGTGAGTAACTCTGCTCGTAGTGAAGAGCCATGACAGTGAATCCTGCAAACAGTTCAGCCATGTCTCACTGTCCCTTTTTTACTAATCCCTCTATGATAGGGATGTCACAAATTTATCACCCATCCCTAATTGCCCAGAGGGCAACTAACATTGCTGTTAGCCTGGAGTCACATGTAGACCAGAGCAAAATTTCCTTCTCTGAAGGGCATCAGTGAACCGGGTGGATTTTTATGACCATCGATATCTTCATGCTCACCATTACTGCCATTATTAATTGAATTTAAATTCTACCAGTTGCCTTGATGAGATTTGAACTCTCTCCCCCAGAACATTAGCCTCATTCTCTATTACTAGCCCTGTGATATCACCACTGTGATATGCAAGATGCATTTGTGTTGCTGAATCTGCTATGGCAGGTATTAATTTGTTGCTCTCTCTTTCATTATCCACTCTGGTCAGTGATAGAATTTAATCATATTACTATCAAATGGATGGGTAGTGTTTAGTTTGACTTATTGGGGTTTTTTAAACAATACAATTATTGGTGTCATTCAATTACATACAGCTAAATTATACTTCTCTAACTTTATGATCCTGTTCCCTTTACAAAGTACAAATCGTTAAAAATGATGATTCTATAGATTTTAGAAATCAAAGCGTTCAGGTTTATTGAAAATCAGACAATATGTAAGCTGAATCAAACAAGAAACAGAAATTGCTGGAAAAATGCAGCAAGTCTGTGCAGAGAGAAACAGTTAAGGTTGGGAGTTCAGTGACCCTTCTTCAGAACAGGGTGTTAGCTGGTAATTTTTTATGGGGAGGGCAGGATATTGGTGTGGGGTCCTACCCAGGTGCAGAGCTGTCTTATGTTTCACTATTGCAGAGTATGTGTTGTGACCACTTTCTCCTGGGATTCCTTGCCCCTTAATATTTTGTACAAGTTGATAAATTTATGCAAAATTAATGGAGGCTGGGTAAGTTTGGAAGGGACTAAAGAATAGTTATTCCAGCAGACACTGTGTCTAATCTGTGCTGATACTGCAACAGAAATTGCAGAAAGTGTCACCAAGTGAGGTGGAGGTGCTGTGGCTAAAGAGGACACTTCAAAATGCACAGTCTGTCATTTGTGTCCATGTTGTCAAAGCTGGCCAATAAATGGTACACCAGTGTTTCTTTTCTGTGCCATGCCTGTACTCACTTATCCTTTGTTTAATGGTTGTGTTTTTACCCCTCTCTTTGAAGATTGTATTGGAATGCTTCTTAAAGAAAGACCTGGTTTACACTAAAGCAACTCCAACATTTCACCACTGGATGGTAGACAACAGAAAGTTTGGACTCACCTTTCAGAGCCCTGCTGATGCGCGTGCGTTTGATCGAGGTGTGCGGAAGGCAATAGAGGATCTGACCGAAGGTACGCTCTACTACTTTGCCAACTGTATATTGCTGCCCCGTTGGCACGTGTCTAATGTGACGCCATCTTCCTGCTCAGCAACCAATCAACTGCTCAAACACGGGGCAAGGCAGGAAACCTGCCTCAGAGTAAAGTATCTGCTTTATATCTGATCGCCATGTCACTTTGATCACATAATTAACTTTTTGTGGAAAGGATTTGTTTACTGAAGTATTTGTTTGTTCTTATTGTCTCCACTACGTGGGTTTTCACAAGAAATGGAGGTAGAATAGTTGAGAAATAGCTCATTGTCAAATGTTGTCTCTGTGAAAGATCTCAATGTTCTGCTACGTTAAAATTCAGTCCTATTGCTCAGGCAGAGTGTTTTAGTCTGATTGCTCCCTGACGACAGAGTGATTATTTCAGGGTGTGTGTATTGTCTGTAATGTTGATCAGTCTCACTCAGTTACATCTCTGTGACCTGTTGTTATCTGAACTGACCCAATGAGCACTCTACCCTGTGAGCAGTGAGCATGTCTGCAGACCTTCAGAAGACTTTGCGGGATTAGTTTGGCTGAGATCTCGGAGCACTGTGTCCTACGTCATGTTAATTTCAACCCGATTTGACCCTCTCCCCACCATATGCTGTTTACAAGCCCATAGTTATGACCTCCTCGTGTTGGTCGGAAGGTTGGAGTAGCGGCCTCCCTTTACTGAGGAGCATTAGTAAATCACAGAGGATCTGACTGAGGAAGAGCACGGCTGCTCTGATTTGCTCTATCCAGTGTCAAAACGACTTCTGCTGTAACCTTTATGGTGAACGGTTTCTTAGAGTAACACTCCTGCTATTCTGTAACCACTTTGTACAATTCCGTTTTTAATGATAACCTTTCTCCCAGGGTCAACAACGTCATCTTCCACAATTCAGAATGAAGTGGAGGTCGGCGATGATGATGTTTTTACAGTAAGTAGAAGCTATTGCCCATATTAGCTGTTTTCTTGTTTGCTTGTATCAAGTTGAGGGATTAATTTTAACATCTGTCCCTCAAATTAATTGAACTAACTGTTTAAGTTGTGAAAATGTTCAAGACATCGGCTGACAGTTTATAACTCTGTGCAGCAGAATAATACAATGTTTGTGAATGGCTTTTCTGGGGCTGAAAACTGTTTAAAAAAAAAAGTCAGCCTGAATCATGTGACTGACTGACTTAAAGTATGAGAATCTGGTGGATTTGTTAGCGTGACCATGAACTTGAAGTTTAAACAATCAAACTTTCAGAGAGATGGTCTTGTTTGAAACCACGCTGTGTAAACACGTTAGTCTGGTGTCCTCAATGGGAGGAAATTACTACTGCTTCCTGTATCATTGTGAATGCAAAATTTGTTTCTCCTTGTTGAGTAATGGGTGTCTGTTCCGGCTATCGTCCCAATGACAAGGTCTCTTTATTTTGACATTGTAAATAATGTGCAGAAGTCATTCAAATGAGTTCTCTGATTAGCTTACAGTTAAGCAGCACCAGATCTGTGACTCTCTCTTGGCTGTGTTGCTATTCAGTCATCCATGTGTGTTTGTCAACAATGGAAGTCTAGAAGTGTTTTGGTAATTGGTAAATGAATCAGGTTGTAGAAATGCAGACTGCTGTGTCTTTCAAATTGAATTCTGGCATTGTATTTCCTTACAGGACACGTATTCATTTGAGAAATCTGTGCAGTCACATTGTGTTGTATGGTACAGCAATCAGTTCTTTTTCAAAAGTTGCTTCTGGTAGAATCGTTTCAACTTTTTTTGTAAACCTTAACCCTGAATAATGATGCATGCATGTTAACTGCAGTTGATGGGAGCTCAAAGACAGTGAAACATCTTGCTAATTAACACACAAACCAAAAGAACTGCGGATGCCGTAAATCAGGAACAACTGCGGATGCTGTAAATCAGGTTCTGAGGAAGGGTCACCAGACCCAAAACGTTGACTGTTTTCTCTTCCACAGATGCTGCCAGACCTGCTGAGCTCTTCCAGCAACTTTTTGTTTTTGTTGCTAATTAACACACCCTGCCCCACCTCCCCCCACACATGCAGATATATAGACCCCAGGGTGGTTGGGGTGATGAGGGATGTAGATATCAAAAGAGAAGACATTCGCAGAAAATTCTTGTGTGACACAAACCTTTACTGAACAGTACAGTAAGATGTAAATTATGAACTAATCTGCATGACCTACCACAAAATCAGTAACTGAAAATATGTAAAGATTCAGTCCAGTATATGATGAGTTGCCACATCTGTCTGCTTGTGGTTGGGTCCACGTAAAAGATGTCACTAGATCGGAGTTTATCACATCTCTCTCTTATTCCTGTTTCACTTCAACTGGGCAAAAACAAGATCAGCACCCATTGGGAATACCGCACTCTGCTGAAGGCAGTCTCACTCAAGAAGGACATGCCATTGGCCCTGTTCATGGGCCATTTCTGATATTAATCAGAACAGGTCTGGGCTTTATAAAATTGGACAGTAGAGAGGTTGCACAAAGCTGGCTTCTGTCTTGTTATGATTAAAACGTTAACCAATGATCTGGTTTGAGGTGTTGAAAATGAGAAGATTTGACTTGAGTGGATGAAGAGGAAATATTTCCATGGAGAATAACGAATAAGGAAACACAAGTGTACTTAGCAAGTACTTCTTCATATGCCAGCTAGTAAAAATTAGGAATATTCCCCACACCCCTTCCAGCTATGGATGCTGGCATGGGAAGCTGGTGGATCCATTGAGATCACTCGGTTATTGTTGAACAACTGAGCCAAGGGGTATGGGGCAAAGGTTAAATGGATGAGATGAACAGATTGGAGGAGGACTGGGCAGTTTTCCTGCGTGTCCTGAGCAATATTTATCCCTCTATCAACCTGACCGAAACAGGTGCTCTGATCTGTCAGTTTACTCTTTTTGTGGGAGCTTGTTGTGTACCACTTGGCTGCCTGTTTCCTACATTTCTAACAGTGACTATACTTTAACAGTGCCTAATTGGCTGTAAAGTGCTTTTAGAAATCTGGTGGTCATGAAAGGTGCTACATGAATGTAAATCTTTTTTTCTCTTGGAACAGACGTCAACAGCAATCTGACCGCATAGCAGGTAGCCCCGTGCTCGAGGGGCTGAATGGCCTCCTTGTGTTATTGCTGACAACGTTTTTCCAAATGTTCAGGGATTTTAAGGAACAGTATGGCCTGAAGCCAGTCACAATATCCTGATGGGTTCCAGGGCTGGTCCTACAGAATCCTCCAGCCTGGAATTGCTGTGTAGCTGTGATGGTCAACACAATCTAATGATCCAACCATTCCCATCTGACGGTGCTCTGTACATTCTGGCCATGTTTCTCGTAAGCACCCAGCCAGCATGCTTCATCCACCATCGGTCAATGGATTTCTGCTTTGCTGTAACTGGACAGATGGGATTCTGTCCCTTCGGTAGCCCCAAGATGAGTACTTGAGGGTTTTGTGCTGAATAGAGCACCAGGTTTCGTAATTCAGTGTTCACCTGGTCATTAAGGCAGGTGTGTGAATGCCCTTCACAAAGGTTCCTGCCAGAAGTGACTTCCTTCTCCCCCAAAGTACCTGCAAAAGCCTTCCAGTGAGCCCACGGATTTCATGCCTGCACAGGCTGGTCACAAAAAGCCTGCAAACCTTGCAGTGACACTGAGACACAGTCACCACGAGGGGGTAAAAGGGATCTGAATTCACTATGAACATATCTGCTATTCCAGAACAAAACTGGGTTTAAAAATCCATATCCTCAGACACAAGGCGATGGGTCAGAATCTGTACCGTGCCCTTGATTTCACCAGCTCGTCATTACCTATGTGCTATCCCCTGACACCCGTGAGGAAGAGGGGGAGAATACTTGTTTAGTTTTCTTCAAGGACCTCCACGCCCGGCTCTTGCTGCGTGTTTCCGAATTTTGTGTCTCGTCTGTCCTCGTGACACAGCGACAGTGATCATTTGGAGTGATGAAAAGTTGCTGTTCTGCAGAGGTGCTCCATTCTTTATTAAAGTGAAAAATGTATCACAAAAGTAAGATGTCTCTTTCCCTAGATATTCATGACAATTTGTGGAGTTCTGTAACACATATTTCAGCATTTTGGACTAATGTGAGGTGTGTTTCAAACTAAAATGATAACTTGAAATTATTTTCTCCACTAGTGGGGAAGGTACTTTTTATTGAAGTGCTGTGATCTAAGTTTATTTCTTGGGGATTAAAACTCTGAAATAAGCTGTGGCAGTGTACTTAGCTAAAGCCTGTCTTTCCCATTTCAATTTTACTATGCTTCTAACAGTCAGCAAACTCTGTGTCTCGGGGCAGAGGTTTACACACAGTATTTCATTCACTTCCAATCCTTTGTCACCATATTATGAAGAGAGGAGCAGGAAGCTGGGTTCAAAGGTGATTTCCTCTGCTCTTCTGTCAAACTATCATGAGCAGCTGCTTCTAAATGAGCTGCCAGAGTGATCTATTGGTGCATTGTGTACAAAGCCAGGCGCACTCAGTATCAGCCCCATTCTCTGCTTTAAAACAATTTGCCGACGTCACCCAATCACACGTTTGACTTCTACATGCATCTATTTCATAAACACTTCTCCCCCTCTCTCTCACCCTCAGCCTTCATAAGAGTAAGATGTAGAAACAGAATTAGACCATTCAGCCCATCGAGTCTGCTCTGCTGTTCAATCGTATTGAAATGTTTTTCAACCCCATTCTCCTGCCTTCTCCCCGTAACCTTTGATCCCCTTACCAATCAACAACCTGTCTATCATTGTCTTAAAGTCACTCAATGACTTAGCCTTCACAGCCCTCTATGGCAATGCGTTCCACAGATTCACCTCCCTCTGGCTGTAGAAAATTCCTCCTCAGCTCAGTTCTAAAGTGTCAGCCCTTCACTCTGAGGCTGTGCCCTCAGGCTCTAGTCTCTCCTCGTGGAAACATCCACTTTATCCAGGACTCTCAGTATTCTGTAAGTTTCAGTCAGATTTCACCTCATCTTCTAAACTCCATTCAGTACAGGCTCATATGACAGCCCCTCTCCCCTGCAGTCATTTATGTGAAGCTCTCTGGACCCTCTCCAGCACTAGTACATCCTTTGATACAGGGCCCAAAACTGTTCACAATATTCCAAATGGGTCTGACCAGAGCCTTGTACAGCCTCAGCAGGACATCCCTGCTGTTGTGTTCTAGCCCTCTTGAAATGAATGTTAATGTTGCATTTGCCTTCCTAATTGCCAACCGAACCTGCATATTAGCCTTAAGAGAATCCTGAACTAGTACTCCTAAGGCCCTTTTGTGCTTGGGATTTCCGAAGCCTTTCCCCATTTAGAAAATAGTCTACACTTTGCTGTCTGCTTTGCTTGCTAGCTCTGCCTGTTTTCTCTCTCTCCCTCTTTTTTTTTCTTTTCTCTGCCCCTGCCCCCTCCCTACCTCTTTGTTCTTTGTTCTCTCTAGTGCTGTCTGTTTTCTCGTTTTCACCTGTCTCTCTCTCGCACTCTCTGTTTGCTCCCTCTCTCTCTGTTCTCTCTGTCTGTTGTCTTTCTCTTGCTCTGACTGTTCTCTCTCTCTCACGCTCTGTTTTTTCGCGCTCTTGTTGTCTGTTTTTTCTGTCTCTCTCTCTCTCTCTCTCTCTCTCTCTCTCTCTCTCTCTCTCTCTCTCTCACACACCTACTGGTTTCTGAGCCGCTCGATAACCCAGTCGCGGCTGCCAGGCAATGGCCGTATTTTTGTTTGCTGTTACAGTGAGGGTGATGGATTGCAGCCGATGGGCTCAGGGAAACAGTTGCTTTCTCGCTGTCAGTGTTGGACTTGATGACTGTGAATGCTGAAGGAAAGGAAGTGACCCTTTCTAAATGCTTGTCTGGCCCTGAATAGTCCCAGGCAGCACTGACACACCGACATGGATCTCCAGCAGGGGGTAAAGAGGGTCAAGGCCTGATGAATGATGAGCCTGAACAGAAGCTGTAAGCACAACCAAACCCCCCTGCCCCCTGCCCCCCTCCCCCAATCCCCCGGGTTTGCTGATGGAGGTCATATCGCTGTGATATCAGTGGATGACTCTGTTAATGGTTCATAAAGATAGTTTGGCCAGAAAAAGAGACAGCAGCTAATATTTCTGCAACTTCATGTCAGAGAAGTCTCAGATATTTGCATTTGAGTGTTTTCTTGTTGTCGGGAGAGATATGAACCATACCTAACTATGTCTCTGTCTCTGTTCTCCTCTGTTCCCATGTAGTTCCCTTTTGAAACGGCACCCCCTCACACTCTCTCTCTTTCTCACTTCACCCCCCTTCCCCCCCCACACTCTCTCTCTTTCTCACTTCACCCCCCTTCCCCCCCCCACACTCTCTCTCTTTCTCACTTCACCCCCCTTCCCCTCTCTTTCTCACTCCCCCCTTGCCCTCCCTCACTCACTCCCCCTCCTCGCCCTCATTCGCTCGCTCACCCCACCCCCAACTCGCCCTCCCTCGCTCACTCGCACCCCCCCCCCCCCCACCCCCAAACTGCCCTTTTTCCCTGTGAATGTGGAAATGAATATCCTTTTGAGGCTTCATTCATGGAATGTGGGTGTCACTGCCTGGGCCCGCATTTCTTGCCCCGCCCCTAGTTGCCCTTCAGAAGGTGGTGTTGAGCTGCCCCTTGTGCTGTAGGGAGGCCTTGGGGAGGGAGTTCCATTTTGGACTAGCTCCCAATCAACCATAGAATCATAGTGTGCAGAAAAGGCCCTTCGGCCCATCAAGCCTGTATAGCCAAAAATATTCTACCACCTACAATAGTCCCACATTCCTGCACTAGCTCCATAGCCTTTGAGTGTTATGACGTTTCAAGTGTTCGTCCAAGTACTTTTTAAAGATTGTGACCTTTCCTGCCTCAATGCCCCTCCCAGGCCATGCATTCCAGACCCCCACTGCCCTCTGGGTGAAAAATGTTTTCCTCAAATCCCCTCTAAATCTCCTGCTGTACATCGTAAAATTACACTCCCTCATTATTAACTGTTTGGGGAACAGCTGCTTCCTATCCTCCCGGTCCATGCCCCACATCATCTTACACACCTCTATCAACCTTCACCACTCTAAAGAAAACACCCCGAGCTTATCCAGTCTCTATCGCTGAAACGCACTACCCCAGGTGACATCCTGGTGAATCTCCTTCAGCACCCCACCCAGTACAATCACACCCTTTCTTGGTGTGGGGACCAGAATTGCACACGGTACTCCAGCTGGGGCCTAACCAACATCCTGTTCAGCTCCAACATAACCTCCTCGCCCTTAAAATCCATGCCATCACTGACCAAGGCAAGTGTCCTGCCCGAAACGTCAGCCTTCCTGCTCCTATGATGCTGCTTGGCCTGCTGTGTTCATCCAGCTCTACACCTTGTTATCTCAGATTCTCCAGCATCGGCAGTTCCTACTATCTCTGCCTATTAATCTGTTGCCTTTAGGGGTATGCGGACAAGCATCCCAAGATCCCACTATCCCTCTGAGCTTCCTGGTGTCCTGCCATTCACTGAGTACTCCCCTATCTTGATCCTTCTTCAAATTGCATCATCTCTCAGTTATCAGTGTTAAATTCCATCTGTCCATCAGACCAATTGGTCTATATCCTTTAACAAACCAAGACCACCTCCCTCTGTCAGCCCCCCAGTCAATATTTGTGCCATCTGCCAACCTATCACTCCTGTTTCTGCCTTTCACCCCTCATGTTGATCATGTGACTGACCCTGATGTCAGTTGCTCTGTCGCAGCATGGCACCATTTCTCCTCCAGTGGGATGGGAGGTGGGGGGGGAAGTGCAGAATGGGCAGCTGAGGTCCCTGAGACACTGCTTCTGTTCCTGTTTGCTAGATTCCACCCCTCCACTGGCCTCCCCTGGACCTTGCAGAGTTTGGAGTATGTTCTGTCCACTAGCAAGAACTCCCCAGAACTCTTCTCTGTCACTGCCTGCATCTGACCCTGGCACGGCCCAAACCTGTTTTAATCCATCTCCTGTTTTCTTAACATCTTTGCAGTCCTCCCATTTCCCCCTTCACCATTTCCTCTTCCCCTCTACCCCCCCCCCACTTCCCCACCTTCCTATCTACTCCGTCCACCTTCTCAAAAAATCACCTTTTTAACTAAGTTTTTTTATCAGTGCTCCAAAGCCTGTTCACACCTCCAAAACACAAGTCAGGAGTCCGATGGAATACTCCCCACCTGCCTGGATGGGTGCAGCTCTAACAACACTCAAGAAGCTTGACACCATCCAGGACAAAGCAGCCCGCTTGATTGGCACCACATCCACAAGCATCCACTCCCTCCACCACCGACACTCAGTAGCAGCAGTGTGTACCATCTACAAGATGCACTGCAGAAATTCACCAAAGATCCTCAGACAGCACCTTCCAAACCCACAACCACTTCCATCTCGAAGGACAAGGGCAGCAGATACATGGGAACACCACCCCCTGCAAGTTCCCCTCCAAGCTACTGTTGCAAAGTTGGTATAGTACTTGTGAACTGGAAGGCAGGACGTTAGAATTTGGTTGTAAAATGATAAGGGGTTTAGGGAGCGGAGGGGGGCGGTGGAAAGAGTGCATGGTCCCTTTAAAAGATGTGTTTTTTATGACATGGAGATTTTTTTAAAAGTCTGCAAGCAGCAACAGATGCAGGGAGAGTTCTTGAAATTGAAACGTTATATCAAAAGACTATACTGTTAGTAGGCAAAGCAGCATTTTTACCAAAACAACAGGGTTTCTGAATTTAGCCAATTAATTTAAACCAGGTCCTAGACGCCTTAACCCAATTAAATTTATATCTGATGGTTTTGTTAACCTCGGACCAGTCCTACTGTAAGAAATTAATAGGTCGTCATGGGTATAAAAGAAGAGGACATTTGAAAATCTGAGTGAGAGCAACTCTAAAGGGAAACACTGGCTCTCACAGAATTCTATCAGCTCTTAAGGAAAAAAAACCATCATCTAATTAAAGGTACGGCAGAACTCTTCGCTAATATTCCTGACACCAGAAATCGAAGGTGAGGTGTTTCAGATACCAGAATTTGACGGAGAAAGGCGTTCCTGGCAGAGGATCAGCGGAGATAGCACAGAGCATTCCGGAAGACACATCCTGGCTGTGATTTCGAAGAATTAAGTTTTAATCTATTTTTGTATTATTATGTTAGCTTATATAAGTGGGACTTGTATTTATTGGAACAGCATACCATTAGAATTTTGTTTTATTTGGGAATACTTAG